CCATTTCACACAGGGCCTGCCCTGCACTGTCCTTGCGGCCAGCCAGATCCAACCGTGGCAGTCTCATGTCCCTGTCTCCCTCCTCAGACAATGGGCCCCTTGTCACCTACCAGGACCCACAATATCTGCAGAAAAGAGAAGGCAGCACACGGGGAGAAATGTAAGGGACGAATGAAGGTCCTCGTGTCCTGCTTCCTTCCTGACTGGCTCAGTCCCCACAGCTGATGGTCGTCCCGCCCAGGGCCAGGCAGGCACCACAGTGCCCGGCGCTGCTCTTCCTCTCGTCCTCGTTCATTGTTTTCAGCACACGCTTGCCGCCGAGCCTCCTTGTTCCACAGGCCCAGTCTCATCCTTGTCTAGGTTTCACCCCTGCCCAGCACTGCCCTTACTGAGAGGCCTCAGTTTCCCTATCCGTAAACACACTGAAGTCCTAGCCCCCAGTACCTCAAAATGAAGACATGTTTGGAGACAGGGTCTTTACAAAGGTAATCAAATTAAAAGTGAGGCTTTTAGGGTGCCCTTGGTGGGGGCAACCTGGGTTGAGGAGCCCCTAATTGTCACTTCACTTCCTTCTATTCTGTTGCTCCGGATAGACCCATCGGGGCAGCTGGGGAGGATGCATTGGGAGCTCCCAGCACATGCAGCAGTGACTCTCGGGTCACTCTTTCAGTCCAAGGACTAACCTGGGGGTCCTCAAGGGGCGCAGACCTGTGCAGCCAGGAAGGTCAGGCCTGTCCTTGTACAGCAGTGAGGCTTCTCAGGAAAAGGTCACTTCAGCTCTAACCTCTGCACAACACGGCTGCAGGCTCTGTGTGCAGCGCACTCAGCCTGGTGTAGCTCTGAGGGGTCTTGCCCATGGGGTAGTGCTGGTTTCTGTGTAGACGTGGACCTCAGCCCCCTGAGGAGTGGAGCCGGGGCCTCCTCCGGCCTCCTGTAACAGCCCAGCTGGGGACAAACCACTTCCTCCGTTTCACACGCAGCTGGCTAGCCCCACCCGGCTCTGGGGCCACGAAGCAAGTTGTGAAGATTTGTACTGGGGCTCAGTCAGACACTTTGCAGGCTGGGGGGCCCAGGGCAAGTCAGCTCTGTGCCTCGGTTTTCTCCCTGCAAGAATGGCTGACCAGCATCCACCCTGGGCATTGGCAAGCACTGATCTGAATGGCAGCGGCACCTGCTGAGCGCGTCCAGTCCCGAACTACAGTGAGCCTGGCACAACTCAGTCCCCACTTTACAGATGAGTGTGGCCATTCTGTGTGACCCGAACATGCCCCTGCCCCTTGGGTCCCCTCTGCACAGTGGGCACAATCACGGTGGCATCGGGTTGTGCCGCCACTGTCGCTGGGACCCTGCCATCAGTCCACGCACCTCTTGAGGTGGCCCCGCCACTGTCCCACACTGCCAGGCACTGCACGGGGTGTGAGGAGGCTTCAGTGGGCGCGGCACTCCTTCCTCATGGCCCCATGCTACACAGGCCCACATCTGCTAATATCTAAACTGCAGAGTGCAGGGGAAGCTTCTGGAGCCACACTGTGTGGGAAAGCCTAGCCCCAGGACAGGTCTGGGACCACCCTCCTCTGCTCAGGCAGAGGAAGGCTCACACTGCCCCCGGCCTCTGGCCCCCGAGGCTGGGTGACATGAGAGGGTCTGGCCGTGGTCTCGATGCCCTGGCTGGTGCACCGCCAGCTGATGGAAAAAGGCTCCCTGTATCTGGTCAGCCTTGGACTTGGGCCCCTGCCAGACTTTGATGGGGACACAGGCAGGCACCGTTCATCTTGTGAGAGCCTGAGCCACCCCCAGATGATAGGCAACACTGTCCCAGCACTGTCCCAGGCAGTTTACAAAGGCTTTTCACACTTGCCATTTGAGGCCCATAATAACTCTGAATTTTTACACATCACGCTCCAGGAACCCAGAGAAAGACGACAGAACAAAAACAAGACACCATTCCGTGCCACCACAGCCACTTCCTGCCTTGAAAACATCCGTCTCCCTCAAATGGCTCCTGCCCTGAATGCTCCCACCACCCCAAAGTTCCACAAAACCAGTCAGATCTCGGGGCTCCGCCAAGACCTCAGGGCCAGCCCCACTCACCTGTCTTCCGAAGGCGAGCGAGTTTCTCCTCCGGGCTGAACTTCGTGCAATAGCGAAACACAACTTCCTTCTTTCTAATTTTCGCAATATGGGTCACAACATGATGGTGTATTTGCATTTCCGCATCATTCTGCTGGGGTGAGAGGAGCTTGGCTTGCTGATTCTAGAAGGTGCAACTTGCAG